TATGTAGAACCAAAATCAAATTAACAAAATTATTATCATTACGAAAAAGGGAAAACATAATCGCATTCAAATTAATTAAATAAATTGATTCAAATGTAATCAATTGATGAAATTGAAATGAAATTGAGATCTTCTCCAAATCAATAGCAATTTAATGCAACCTAAACTAAAACATAGAAATAAAACGGAAATACGGACAAGAACAAAGGGAATCAATTAATTAATAATTTTGAATAGGCGCATTAATTTAAAAATATAAAAACCTGAAAAGAATTTACAAAGAGAATGCAAAACTAATTAATAATTTTCAATTGCCGCATTAATTTAAAAATATGAAAAAGAATTTATGGAAAGGAGTTAAGATTGGCGTAGTAATAATTGAAATTATCAAAAACCTGAAAAGAATTTATGAAAAAGAAGCAAAAGTAATTAAAATTATGAAAAATATTTTTAGATTGAGGTGGGAGGGCTGCTTGTTGTGAATCTCGTGTGGTATAAAATCACTTACTACTTGATGTCTTCATCTGCATCTCTGCACATCTCCATCTCAACCCTCGTTTTTGGTTGGCACTCACGAATACTCACGATAATTTAACAAAAAAATACGCACAAAACTCCCGCAAATCTAACACTCCGTGATTCTAATGTAAATAAATGTATAGAACTCACGGTTGAAAAACAAGAGCCGAAGCCTTAAATTTGTTTTCAAAATAACGAACAAACACTGTAAATCAGAATGTAAGACTAAGAATCGGCTAATGACCAAGACTTTTCTTAAGGACATCTGTCGCGAGACAAAAAGAATGAAATTTCGGGGAAAACGCGAACCCCTAGATCCGCTGTGATCTGTTGGTGATTGCTCGCATATTACGGATACGAGCAACGACCTTAACGGATGCACCTCGAGAAGGTTTTAGCACAGGCGGTCTTGCCATTCCATGCGAATCACTGCGAACGTGATTAACGCATAGAATGACCTGGTATTTTCAATACCTTGCATCCATATAAATAGCAAATAAATAATAAAAACTATTGAAGCTGTAAAGTTTTGAATTGCTCACCATTGATCAGCATCGTCGTCGCTGGTTACGGTTCGGAACTGCGACTATTTCCACGTAACAAGAAAGCCCCGAATTTTCATTAATTAAGGCTCGAATCTAATTGGAATTATGTTGACTTAAGAAAGGGACGCGCACAACTGCGACAAAGTGACGCCACAATCGTACCAACCGGTAACTGGTTGTAGCTGGTACGCAATTTTTTTTATTGCAATAAAAATGCGTTGGTATCAAAAAATAAACAAAAAAAAAAGTAGCGGAGGGAAAGCGTCGGTTCGCCATTTTGTTAGCGTCCAAATTTCTAATTAATTAACGCGAATTTCTCAATTACGAGTTATAATGGTAAATGCACATTTTAACACAATCTGCGCAATCGATTAGCGAAGAAATTGGGAGACTTTCAATGCAATTCGATATATTTTTTTATTATTTTAATTAGATTCATCACTAACCTTTAATTGCCGCTAAATCTAATAGGGTTGTGATCTCCGACGATGGTTTTCTCAAAACATCGGATTTAAACCAGTTGCACAACAATTTTGAACTTTTAAAACCGAATTGCTCACTGACTCTGCCGACGAATTGAAGAACGAACTCCGACTGAGAGTAAAATTCCGCGAAGCGACGCAGACGCAGTAGGTGATGCCAACTGTTTAAATTGTTTAAATTGTTAATAACATTAAAACTCCCTCTTGTGAATCAATTGAGAAACACAATAGCGCCAATGTGACAAAAAAAAGCAATAAATTATTAATAAATTGTTAATTTTCTAATTATTCCGGCTAAAACGAAAGCATTAAGCCGCAATTAACGCAATCAGATTGTAGATGAATTTAAGTTTTTGATAGTGACAAGTTCTCCTAAAGTCTCAAATCACAGTCCTGTTTCCTCATTAACTCAATATCTTGAAAGGAAATTATTGGGACTGCGATTCTATCACGATGTAGACCTTACTCAAAGCATTCATACTTTAAAGTTTGGATTACGCCTTGCTTCTTCTATTCACATTACCCAAAATCTATACTGAAAATTCTGAAACCAAGACTCATCTAAATGGTAGAGGCTCTTTCTAGACGGAAGCAGCAGGCGAAAGCAACAAAAAAATGATCATTTTAAATTATGTTTTGGTTAATTATAATCAAATTAATAAGTAGTGTTTTAAACAGCGCTAAAAGTAGTAAACTTGGTATGTGGGTTTACAACTCGAATTAAATATGATTTGTGTGCCATCTAAGGGTTTCATGTTAAAGCGTATAGTTCACCCAGTTTTGGCGCTGGTTTTCAAATAGTAGCATCATCTATTGTTATAATTTCGTAACGTAATTTGAATTTCAAATTCTATTATTGATTATTTCATTGCTATATTTGAGCTTATATAAGCTGCTAATATAGTGTTTTATATTGCATATGTAAGAATACATAAATGACATTTGCAAATTATATAAATCAGTTTGATTGGATAAAGGTTTTTTTTTATAATGGGAGATTGTCGAAGTCATTTAAAATATATTTATTAATAAATACAAATGTAATATATGGATCTGCATAGAAATAATATATGAAGTGTGAACAACAATATTTTGGCACCTCGAACAATGAAATATCCAGTTTGCAATTAGCATAAATATCAATACGTGCCAATACATTCAGTAAGCAACTACTACTACATGGACATTGCACTATTTTTAATATCTTATGTAAAAGGGGAATGTTGCTAACAATATATTCTAATGGTTTGTACTTGCTCTATTGACAAAATTATCGTTGCTTGCCTCACTTTTCCTCAATACCTTGAACTGCCTTCGAGGACTTTCTCATTGATGAAGGCATTCAGCCTTGCGTACGCACTGTCCAGGTCATCGTTTACTATGATAATATCAAAATTACCTGGTACAATACCTGCAAATATATTTTTTTATTGATGATGATGTCAGTTGTCTTCAATTGTAATTTACTCACCGTATTCGATTTCTTCTTCAGCATGGCTCAGTCTCAGTTTGAGACTCTCTTCAGTTTCGGTGTTTCTAGCGAGCAGACGCTCCTTCAGCACTTCTATCGAGGGTGGATTGATGAAAATGTAGTGCGGTTTGAGGTCGGACTGCTTCACCTGCTTGACGCCCTGCATCTCGATGTCCAGGATGCAGACCTTGCCGTTCTTGAAGACGGTCTCGATGGCCGCCTTGCTGGTACCGTACAGATTCCCGCCGAACGTCGCGTTCTCGATGAACTCACCGTTCTTGATGGCGTCGACCATCGCCGACTTCTCGATGAAATGGTAATGGACGCCGTTCTCTTCGCCGACGCGTGGCTTCCTGGTGGTGTGGCTTATGCAGAATCCGAACTTTTCGGGATGGTCGGTCATCAGGCGGGTCAACAGGGTGCTCTTGCCGGACCCGGATGGACCGCACATGACTATCGGACGTGACCCTATCATCGCCGATAGAACTGCAAAAAAACGAGAAACGTAGAAGAAATATGGCTCGTCGTCCTCCTAATATACGAACCTTTGAATAACCGAATCGTGCTGAACGCAACACAAATATGTGTGGAATGGGAGAGATATTAGACGAATTACTTCGACTTATCTAAAACGAATTAATTCAAGGAAAGCACGGAACAGGCGATGACCTCGCACCTCACCTCACGCTATATTATTGATCGGGTTGGCTTTGCACGAAGGGTGCTCCTGTTTCCTCTTCTTCGAAATGTTCTGATTCTGCTGGTAAACAACAATAGATCGTTTCGAAGATTCTCGTGCGGTCGTCCAAACAACACTGCTCTCTTATTCGATGGTTTTCAACATAAGGACGACTTGCTCACAATGAAACGTTAGAGAGCGCTATAGAGCTTTGAGGTTAACAAACCATGAGTATATTTTAGCGGAGGATCTGATTCACTGCTTTTAATAGCAGTTCTCGAAATTCCGATCCAATTCTCTATAATCGTTTCCACATGTTCATTCCAATCCACGTCTATTCCCTTTTACGATTATTAAGCCAACTATTCATTTCTAATCTAACAGTTAAATATCTAAAACTTAACTCGAGTTCAATTTTCAATAAGCGAGTAAAAGAATAAGCTTTTTCTTGCATGTTAAATTCAGAAAGTTTGGACGCGATGCTCGGGTTTATTGACTTTGAATTTGAAAAAAGTGTAAACATGTTTTTTATATAAAATGCTGCCAAAAATGATTGTCAACTCATCGTAATTACTGACGCATATAGAGAGCAAAACTATATGAGAGTTAAATAAAATTAATTTTAAGTTTAAATAAAATTGAATAGTGAATCGGCGTTGAAATAAGGAGAGCTCAAGATGTCGTACGGTATGACGCTGGATTTGTCCATGGATCCCATGGAGGAGACCCGCATCAAAAAGAAGTACTATCGCCTGATCAAGGATCTGACGAAGAAGCATCACTTTAATCAAATGGAAATCGAAAGTTTGATCCTGATTTTCCACAAGATCCGCAAGGACGGTGACATGAAGCTTCCAGGCATCACCAAGAATCAGTTCCTCGACGTCCTGCACAACGGCTTCGATATGACCGACGACGCGCTGATGGACCGAATATTCACGGCCCTCGAGACCGCCGGCACCGTCCATCCGACTATGATCTCGATGGAGACGTGGACGTCGGCGATGTCGCTGTTCATCAAGGGTACTTTAGACGAGAAGATCGACCACTGCTTCGCCGTTTACAACTTGATGGGAGACGGGATGTTGGGTAGGGACAGCATGTTTCATCTGCTGAAGAAATCGCTCATCAGTTCGGGCAGCGACGACGACGCGGAGGAATCGGTCAAGGATATGATCGAGATCATCACGAAGAAGATGGATTTGGATCGGGACGGGAAGATCTCGTACAGCGACTTCAAGCAGACGGTTACCACGCAGCCGATGCTCTTAGAGAGTTTCGGCCAATGTCTTCCGTCGCGAATGGCCGTGCACGCATTCGCATCGACGATATTCGCAGAACCAGGCAAATTGTAAACGTACTCTCAACCTTATAAATGTATTTATTTATTCATTTAAATAACTCTAAAAAGAAAAAAAATAATATTGGAAGGGGCACGGGTACAAAAGTTGTTTGTAATTGTTATATGTAATCATCGCGAGAATTGCCTTCCGTCGCCTCCGCTCCGTTCGCCCCTCTTCCTTTGGGGTTGTCTGAAAATGTTACGTTTCTTCGAGTCCGTGCTCTTGTCGTTCCTGTACTGTCCGAATCCCGCCCTCTTCGTGGCGTTCTCTGATTTCTTCGCATTCACTTCTAAAACAAACAGCAAATAAATGATTTAGTAACGTTAGCTAAATATAATATGTTCGTGTACTCACTCAAATCGACTGCCGGAGGTGTCTTGAAACCGAAAGACACTGCCAACTTGGCAAAGTCCAGAGTGCTGATGTCAAAGATGGTCTTCAGAGAATGGGAATCGTACGCACGGACGTAAGCCTTGAACGCCTCCTTCGCAGACATGTTGAGGAAGTAGTTCTGTCCGATCAGCTTCTCCAGCTGCAATTGAATATCGGCGATCTTCGACCAGGAGAACTCGAATTCGTTCAGCGGCACCTTCGCCTGCTTCAGGTACTTGAGGAATCCCAGCTCCGGTGGACTGAGGATCAGCAAGGCGTGACCGCTGCTGCCTTCTCCGCGCGCCGTTCTTCCCACCCTGTGGATGTACTCCTTCGGATCATCTGGAGGATCGTACTGCACGATCCAGTTGACGGCCGGGATATCCAAACCTCTGGCCGCCACGTCCGTGCAGAGCAGGATGCCGCTTTCGGCGTTGCAGAACTGGAAGAACGTCGTCGTACGTTTCATCTGCTTCTGCCTGCCGTGGATGGACATCACCGGCAGATCGATGTAATTGAACAGCTCGTGATGGAACTTGACGGACATGCAGGAACTGAAGAACACCATCACCTTCTTCCTGCGGTTCTTCTTCAGGAAAGTGAAGAGTACCAGCAGCCGTTTGTCCACAGGACACACGATGTAGCCCTGCTCGAGACCGGAAACTGTAGCCATTTCCTTGTTATCGTCGACGCCCACGTAAACCGGCTCCTTCTTGAGCGCGAGCGATGTCAGCATTTCAGTTTTCTCGCTTTGCGTGGCACTGAACAGCATCGTCTGTCTCCTCTTCGGCAGCAAGTTTATGATTTGCTTCATCTCCTCTTCGAAACCAATGTTTAAAATTCTGTCAGCCTCATCAATTACCAAGCACTGCAGATTCTTGTACAGGAAATCCGGAGTATTTTGCAGATGATCCAACAAACGTCCCGGGGTCGACACCAAGATGTTAATACCCTTGTTCAGCTTCTCTGCTTCGGCCTGCCTATTTGCGCCACCCATAATCAAACCGTATGTGTGCACGTGGTATTTCATCAGCTCCTTAAGTACTCCAAACGTTTGCATGGATAACTCTCTGGTCGGAGAGATGATGATAACGCCAGTTCCGTTGCGAGGCGCGAATTTAATTTTGTAGACCAACTCTATGACAGGTATGAGGAAAGCCAACGTTTTACCGGATCCGGTTTTAGCAGCACCCACGAGATCTCTGCCCTCCAGCAACGGGGGAATCGAACGTGACTGGATCTCAGTCATCGCAGTGAAACCCATATCCGCGATACCTCTCAACGTATTCTCGCACACCTTATCCTTTAGAGATGTAAACAAATTGTTGCTCAATATTTCCAAACCAATTGAGGAACCAGGCACTGCCAAAAATTAAAAGAAAACACACAATTTAATAACCGTCCCATTTTCAGAATAATGAACAATTATATTCAATATGAAATCAGCATTTGTGTAATTTCAACAAATGACTTAATGTCTCAACTCAAAGTGTGTAAACACCAAGGAGACAATGAATCCAAATTCATATTCGCCTTTAATTCATCATCCAACAATCAATTGCACTTATTATAAAAGTAATATTATTAACTTACATTGCTCTGGTTTCTCTGTAGATACAACATCCTCATTTTCTTCTTCTACAGCAATCTCTGCATCATCACTATTCTTTTCTAAATCTAAATCTGCTTTCTTTTTCGTTTTTTTCCTTTCTGAAAATTAAACTTAATCAGTTAACCGTATTCTGCTGTATGTGAAAATTATTTACTTTTCTTTGGTCCAGCTTCATCCTCGTTCAACCTTTTGCCATTCTTCAAATCTTCCTTCGTCAATAATTTAATCTCTTCAGGCTCTGGTGAGGCAGTGGCTGCAGCTTCTAAAACAATGAGAACAAAACTTTTACTATTTGAAAAAGGCTACATTTTCCAAAAAAACCACTTACCTTTCTCGACTTTTTCGGCCTCTTTCTTCTGCACCAGCTTCAACTTATTCTTCTCCCTCTTCTTTATTTTTCTCATCAACACTTTATCTGGAATCGACATGTTTCCTTGTTCACTTCACACCGAATGAGAGGGAATAAACAGAAACACGTGCGACTATCGTCAATGATGACAGAAGTTAGGTTATGATCCAGAAGAGATGTCAACAAGGTACCAAGCATACCAACTATAACTAGTTAGCGTAACTAGTTAGTTACGTGCAGCGTTGCCGTAACTGAGTTGATAAAAAATTTGAAATTTTACTTAAAAGTTACTTAAATTTTTGTTATTTCTCTTTAACTATAATCTGATTTAAAAGACATATTCATAGTTATATAATAAAGATAGTTAAATCTTGAAATAATTATTATTACTTTGTGTTTTATTTAATTATATTTAATATGAATCAAATATATTTTAAAATATTAGTTTTCTTCTTCTGGCAATTCCCATTTGCAGATATATATGAAAGTGTATGGGAATTTATATTTTATCAATCTTTGAATGGTTAATGGTGTATATTATTCGATTATGTAACGTTGAAGAGAATGATTGTATGTTAAAGGTTTATATTACATGTTTTTAGAATGAAAAGGATTTAAACTTTTCGTTTTATGGTCGAGGTTGGTACGTGTTTAAGCCGGAAATTGGCGGTAAATGTGCTGTATATATATGCATTAATGCAAGGTTGAACGAGCGTGCGAATGTATGAGTGTGTGAGTGTATACATATTTGCATACACACACACGCATATGTACAGCAACTGTCAAACGTATGAATTCGGTTTCTCTTGTGGGATGCAATATCATTAATTATTGAGACCGAAATTACCGCAAATTCGATAATGGTAAGTTGAAATGGTGGAGGAGGGAAGTAAGGACGGTCAGGCGATTGCGATGGTGAATCCGTGCGAAACGGTGGAGTTTGCACAGATCGTGGAAATGTGTAGAGGCTAGGGAAATGGTTTGCATGCAAAGCAGGGAACACCAAAAAAAAAGGGACCCATTTTTTCGCCCCATTTTGACAGTTACCTTTTTGCAAGTGTGACAATTTTTTGCTCTCTTGCAGATTAACAATCTATTTTAATTCAACACATTGGAATTGAGTGAACGCTGAAGGGTGTTCAAGCCAGTGGAAAAAGAAAAAGGGGAATGAATCCGATGGAGTACTCGACTGCACACATGCAACTGATGGCTGCGAACCCATTGATGCCACACAACAACAACAACAACAATAGCAGCAGCAAGATGAAGAGGTGCAGTGATCTGCACAGGGAAGTGCTCGGCGGTTATAAGGTCAATACGGGATACATAGATCCGATCAAATTCAAAAACGAGTATTTCAATCATCAAAAGTACCACCATAGGGAGGAGGCGAAGAACGGAAACGGGCTGAAGGGGAACGCAAACTCGACGACGACGACAACGACGTTGAATGTCTCGTATCGTATGCTGCCGAACGTGCCGCTGAATCTGATGCCGCCGCCCCCGCACAATAGCACAGTTAGCAATAACAACAACATTAACAACTCCTCCTCTAACAATTTCAAGCGCAAGAGCGGTTGGAAATCGCCGAGGAACGATGTTAGGTGTAATTCACCGCACGGTTCCGAGAGTGACGAAAGCTGCAGATCTTATAAGAGCAGAGACTCGCCCCCAAATATGAATATTAAAGGTAGTATACGTCCTCGATTGCATCTTAACTTATACACCATGTTCTCATCTCTTTTTGCAGGTTTAAATTGTCATCGTGCTAGACACAAGCATTCTACGTTTGCAGAAAACACCTATATATGTAATAAGTATTGTAACAATTCTCAAAACGTTGTATACCCAGCTGTTATAAACCAAAGCAATGGCCATTATAAACCAAAGTGAGTAAGCTGATTATGAAAGAAAGCGGTTTTCTTATGTTCGCTTCTTGGGTTTTTAGATATTATCCAAATACTGTATGTCAGCAGCAGCAACAACAGCAGCAGCAGCAGCATAACGGTTTAAATTTAGCCATCAATAGGAAAAATGAGAAGAAGACTAGATTGTATAATAGTGAAATAGATAGGAGAGTGTATGGTCTGATGGAGAGGTTTACGTCGCGGGCTCACATGTTCAAGATCCCTTCGAAATTGCCGAGCTGCCAGCAAATGAACGAGTTCGAGTCGCTCAACCAGGCGATATGGGAGGTGTACCAGGTGAAGGGACAGAAGGAGATCACGTACCTGCGAAAATTGGATCTGTGGAAGAGCATTTACCTGTCGATGCAGGACGTGCTCAGTCGGTACGGCCTATTCCTCGTCGGCTCCACGATGTCCGGCCTAGGATTGGACTCTAGCGACATCGACATTTGCCTGCTGGTGCGGCCGTACCTAACGGACGCCCGCAGCGACGCCCTGCATCATTTGCAGAAGATCAACGAGGCCCTGGAGAGATGCTGTAAGTAGCGTTCGAGAGATTGCTTAACGTTGTTTCGTAACGACGCTTTTAACGTTGCAGCGTTCGTGCGGTCTCCGGAGGTAATAATGGCCAAGGTGCCGATCCTGAAATTCAAGGATGCGAATTATGGGTTCGAGGTCGATCTGAACTGCAACAACTCGGTGGGCATCAGGAATACTCATCTGATGAACTGCTATGCTCGTTCGGATTGGCGCGTCCGGCCGCTGGTAGCAATCGTCAAGCTGTGGGCGCAGACAAACGACATCAACGATGCCAAGAGGATGACCATCTCGAGTTACTCGCTGGCGTTGATGGTCATACAGTACTTGCAATGTAAGTCGAACCTTACGTGCATCGAATATCGTCGCCCAACTTTACATTGTTTGATTTTCAGGCGGTGTGACGCCGCCTGTGGTGCCGTGTCTGCAAGGCATGTACCCGCAGATGTTCAGTCCTGATCTGGAGATCCACGACATCGACATCCAGGAGGACATCCCGATGTTCTGCTCTGACAACAAGCAGTCGCTGGGAGAGCTGCTGCTGGGATTCCTGCAGTACTACAGCTACTTTGACTACAATCAGTACGCGATATCCGTACGCGAGGCGGCCCTCCTACCAGTCGAGGAGTGCAAATTCGCACGAGCCCCGAAGAACGACGCCACCCAGTGGAAGCTGCTGTGCATAGAGGAGCCATTCGACTTCACGAACACCGCTCGCTCCGTCTACGACGTGGACACGTTCGAGCACATCAAGAGCGTGTTCCGTCTCTCGCACCAGAAGCTCCACCGGACGAAAACCCTCAGCTCAATATTACCCACCCAAAGATGATTTTACCAAAGCAATATTTACAAGTAAGGTTTAAAGATAAAGAAAAGCGTAAAAAAAAAATTATATATATATATATTGAAATGGTCGACCTGTGAGGATGAAGAGACATTTTAACGAAAAGAGTTACAAAAAAAAAAAAATCGTTTTTCTTCTGTTATGTTTTTAGTATTCGTTCAATAATTTATTTAATATTAGAAAAGAAATTGGAAAAAAGAAAATTTGCGCGTATAAACAAAAAAAAAAAACTCTCGGTGTTGCTTGTGCAATATCTTATTACATGAAAGAACAAATTCGAATTCTGCCAGAACACCACCAAAAAAAACAAACAAACAAACAAAAATATTATAAATATGTACGTGTAAAGCGCAAACAAAAAAAAAATAATCTAAAAAGTATCAGTATTGTTAGTGTCTAATGTTTTATTTATTTAGTTAGATTTTATGTTCCTTTATATAAATTCTCAATTATTTTTTATTTATTATTATTATTTTTTTTTTGTGATACTGTGATTACTAGTTTTCTCGTTTCGTAAGGGGGGGTTTAGAAACACTGTTTTTCTTGTTTTCTTCATTTATTATCTCTTTTTTTTTTCGCTATAAAACAGAAAGAGTGTTATTATCGTGAGACTATTCGGGTAGTTATATATGTGTGTGTGTGTGTAAACGAAATTCAAAGAAAAAAAAAATATTTAAAAAAAAAATTTATACATATCATAATTGTCATAGGAAGAGGAGAGTTTGAAACCCCTTTTTGTGTATAAAAATGTTGACTGGAAATGGAATCCTTTTAGTCCGGATGAAGAAGAAGAAGAATTAGAAGAGGAGTAAAGACGGGGAAACATCTTTTATTACATACAACGACCACGCAGTCAAACTTATATACATTTTTTGTACACTATGTGTATATATATATATATACATTTATATATATATATAATTAGTTATTGGCGCCGTGTGGCTACTCGAACGATCCCGCCCATCGCCCCGCCCACTCGACAACACACACACGCCCACTCATGATTCGGAGTGGCGATGGGGGGCGGGGAACGAGACAAATCGGTCGTCAAATTACTGGATGATATTAAAATTTAAATAAAAAAAAATCAACCTTCGCGTACATTCATTGTGTATGTGTGCGTGTACATATATATATAAGTTGCATATACTTAAGTACAAAATACGATTACTTTTTTTTGTGAAGAAGAAGATGAAAGAAAGAAAGAAGAATCTATTATTATTATTATATTCTATGAAAGAAGTAGTTTCTTTATATGTGCCAACAGAAGGAGCAGGATGGATGAAGTAATGAAGTAAGGTTAAGATATTTGGCGAATCTCTCATGTCGGAATTAGACAATATAAATGAAACAATAAAAATGTAACAATAATTTATAAAGAGAATACGATGGACATGTACATAGGAGGAAGACCTTGTGAATGATGAACGATGTTAAGTTTTTTTTCTTTTTGTACATTCTAGATACTTTTCAGTTCGAAAACTTTTCATTTTTCAAACGCTGCATTTGTCACGTGTTTCATTGCATCCATTATTATTATCACCTTATTATATAATTTTACCAAAAAAAAAATAAAGGTAGATAAGATATTTGATAGTAAACCAAAAAAAATTAAAAAAAAAATCATACACGAACTGAAAATTACACTTGCGCGCGCCCCAAATCAAACGACATTCTTTCAAATCGTTATTACATACGGATATATATATACATATATGTGTGTGTGTGTGTATAGATATGCCACAGATAACTTTTGTTCTTCGCTCTGTTATTTTTTTTTTGATTGACTTGTCACACTTTTCTCGGCGCTGTGAAATTTATTTATTTTCTCTCACCCCTTTGTACCTTTACAGCTTATTTACTACTTACTACTCTACTATCATTGTGATCTACGATACAAATTGTTAAAAATTTACATTTCTGTGAGAATTAATAAAAAAATTTCATATATTTCTCGTTTCTGCTTTAGCTCCTCCCACGCGTCACGCCCTTCCTCCCATCACTTTCAGTTGCATAACAATCAAAGTGATTAATAAATCCTAGTTGGCTTCATATGAAGTTGTTTCGCGAGTGTCAAACAAATAAAGGGTGTAAATATTTAAAAAAAAAAAAAAGAATGCATGTTTAATAAATTCAATATTTATGTATAAATAATGATACAAAGATTGATCTTGGCGGTAAGGCAAAATCAATGGTACTGTACTAAAATTAAAATCACCATGTGTGTGTGTATTTATATAAAACGTATTTGATTTTTTTAGAACTAAACAGAAACAAGTATTTTGACGTGTAATCGTACTGAATGATGCCGGGGGGAAAACTGCAGTTCTCTTAATCCTAATATGCTTTTACATCCGCGATAGTTTATTTTGAATGGACCTCAATAGCGTGATGATATGCTCGGTGTTCGGTTTGCTGTACAAATTGGATAGAAGTCCGGCGACTGTGTCCTGCGAAATCGCTATCAGTTTCCTCCTGCAAACGCAACATTTCGTGGTAAATATAATTAATGAATGATATGGAATTGGTGGACTTACTTTTCGACGTTGCTGTATTTGTCGTGTAAATGAACGAAGGCGTTGACGAGGGCTGCCATCGCTTCAGAGTAATGGAACTCGTTCTCTTCGGCCAACCAGAAGTTGTCCTTAAGTGATCGGATCATGGATCTGCGAAACGATTAGAAATATTGATACTGCTCGATGGTGATGTTGTGTGACTCACTCATTGTAGGTGTTTATGAGAAGGTCGATGGGATATTCCAGGGAAACGAAGAAGTTCGGCACGAGTGTTGTGTCCGCTTTGAGCTTGGCGCTGATCAGCTCCAGTTCTTGCACCAAGTAATCCAGAGGGATGCACGTGCTCGACGTCTTGTACAGCCGCACCAGAGACTTGACTTTGGTCAGGATCTGGATCATCTTATCGTTACCGGAGCTGGTGCTGCGACACAGCTCGTTTTGAAGGATATTCCTCCAGATATTCTCGATGAGCAATTTATCGGAGTAACCGGCACAATCGATGATCGCCAATTTGCATTCCCACAGATTGAACTTTTCCGCGAAATCTTCATAAAGCTTCACACAAAAAAAGGAGAAATGTAATTTTCAACTAATTTGATTTGATACACGTTGATGCATACCTGCGTTATATCAAACAGTTTTCCGTTGAGCATTTTTTCGGCAGCGTCAGCTTCCATGTGTCTACCTTTCAAATTCACGATCGCCTCCAGAATCCGCTCCTGCACTTTGGCCACCTCCAATTTATCCTCGAGCTCGCGCAGGAATACGCCAAGATATGGAGCGTATCCGATTTTGTCGCTACGCATACACATCAGCGATCTGGCCAGGTAGCTGAGTCGCGTCTTCATATTCAAAGAAGTCCTAAAAAACAAACGCGAATTAGTGGGATCGAACGATTTCATTGGAAGCAGTCAGTCTCACTGATTGACGGATGCCAAGTTGTTGAGAACTTTGGCGGCAGCTGCGTGATTATTGTTGCTTTCGTAGTATTTCCATAGGATGTCCATCAACGAGATGTTGCTGGGATTGTGTTGGGTGGCCTTCAGCAGGTACGTCTCCAACGTTGGTTCCGTGACGGAGATCAGCTCGCCGTTCATCTGCTTACTCATCATCCACTCGTACACAGCGATGTGCAGCAGCTCATCCTTGTGCTTCAGGATGCTCGAGATTACGCGACGAGTCTACGGAAAGAAGAATTCGGGCATGAATCGATTATAAAAGCTGTCGCGATGCAAAACGCCACTCACGATGTTCTCGCCGGTTTCGACAGGGACCTGACCGTTGATGTTCTGCGTGACATCATTCTGCGAATAAATATCATCCAACATTGCGGTCACGACTTTGTATATTTCGATCCTGAGAGAGGAAGAAATGGATGAGTAGAACACAAAACGTAATAACGATAATGATGAATGTACCTTTTGGCGTAATACTGGTAGCCCTCTTGATCGTTCTGGTCGCCGTTCTTGTAAAAGTGTTCACCGACGTTCTCGGGGTCGATCTTCTCCGCGCACTTCGTGGCCAACATGATGACCGCATTGTAAGACTTTTGCGTGCTGAACTGCTCGCAGATCTCCTTCAGGTTCACGTTAGGCACCACCTCGATGCAGAGCTGCAGCGCGGACGACAGCAGTTCTTCCTTCTCATCTAGATTATTGACATTTTTTGCTGTTTTAAGAATTTCATTTGCCTGCGTACAAACATCAACATTTATATTATCATTCACAGCGCTGTATCAATTATTCGTACACGAATTCAATAACATAAACAATGAGAGTTTATTGTCTCTACAAGTATAATACGTTGAAGTTGGTCGGCAGTCGACCGCTACTTACTTTCGAGCAGGCCGCATCCTCGTTCTTGTAGAGGTTCGGGCAAATCTCGCGCAACTTGGAACTGATGGAATCAACGGAGGCATTGTCACCCAGGTAACTGTTGATCAGCGTGTTGATGAGGGTGGCGCAGACGTCGTGCCCGTACAGCAAGATATCTTTGAAACATGTATTCTGCATCACCTGCTGATGCTCGGCCTGGAAGGTGTCCATCAACATGTGGAACTGGTGCTCGCAGAGCACCTTCCAGAGGCCGAGCACTTGCGCCGCATGATCCACGAACATCTTCAGAGCGTCGAGGGAATGTCGCTCCTCCAGTTGTACGTCCTGCATCGTGCAATTGCCCGTCTTATTCGTCGACTTAGCCACGGTAGTGTTATTGCAGATCGCCATTTGAGTGGTCTGCTGCAGGAAGATACGCAGAGATGTCAGATGGCAAAGGATCCAGGCGCACTCTTCACTATTCAACGTGCTGGTCAGCTGAAAATGGAAATCCGATTGTAGACACGCTCGTTACATTGCCAAATATCGACCTACATAGAATCGTTTCCCATCAAATGTCATCTTCTCGACGCATCGCAGATTCCAGATGGGCCTGAGAATGCGCGCCACGTACAGATAAAGACCGTTATGCTTGGAGGAAAACTGGTACTGGCTGTTGGGGTCGTACATGTGGCTCATATTGGGCTGGAAATGTGGAACGACCGGTGTTATGGAATTCGCGGTGAAGTTCACTTGTGGTGTCATCGGCATAGTCTGCGCGAACGGACTATGCTGTTGCATCGGCGTCGACATCATGTTAGGCAAGAAAATCGACGGATTCCCAACTAAAATATATAACAAATTAGTAAATTTTAAAAAAGATCCAATTAGAAATAGTGTAACACTAAAATATCAGTATATACTTACACGTTTGATTCATGGTGTTGTTAATAGCAGGAGTAGCAACTTTGGGTTCGCCTCCGAAAACGAAGAAGGCATTCGTGGCGTAATCTGCGACGTCGAGGTTCTGAGGAGCCTCGAGGCTGGCCAGAATCAGGCTAGTAGCGCACGCCTGCTCATCGTTTTGGATGTTGAAATAAGCCTTCAAAGCATCACTGTCTTGGCCACGGGTGTCAACGAGGAGCTGCTTCAGTAGATCGACCGGTCGCAGCTTCATTAGGATGTGAGCACCCTGCGAAGTGAGGATAACAAACTTCCTGGGTGGTTCCGAATGCTGCCTCACTATTAACGGCGGTACCTGTTGAGTCGGCTGCAGCAGCATATTCGTATTGTACTTAATCTACAAATAGTAATGATGATGATTTGGTTTCTATGTGATAATCTTGTTTAAAATTACTTCGGCCATCGCTAACGCCGGTCCATCCAATTCGATGTTCGTGGTTGCCTCCATAAGGATAGGATAGAAGGGAAACAGATCGGAGCTGATACTCCATAGAACTTCCTTTTCGTTCACAGTGGACACCATCAGCAGATTCCTGTCGCGGTACTCAGCCATATGTATGTTCTTGGGTCTGTAGTGCGTGGAAGCCGAGTACCCGGGTGGCATCCTCACATGCTGTAAGGCCAAAGTCGAAGGCCTAGGAAGAGGCATGTTGACTTGAGCCTGTCCGCTTGTGCTCAGGTATAAACGAACTCCGGATTGAGTTAAGGCTACCAAATTGATGCGCGGCGACTCGCACAGTTCCACAGCGGATATACTAACGATGGGATGGAAATTCTGACTGTCCAGCGTCCTGAAAGAGTACGATGCTTTCGATGAAAACAAACACCTTAGTAATGATTGTGATTTACGTACTTGACAACGTTATGAGCTTGTTGAACCAACTGGTTCTGCGACACTTTGATCACCCTGCTGATGGACGTTCCGTTCTCCCCCAGGTCGTATACCTCGATCGCTCCCTTCTCCGTCAGCGTGTACAGGATATGTCGCGTATCATCGATGACCACCTGCACGATGCCATCGTCATCGGTCATCGCTGCATAAGCGAACGAAGGCACCAGGAATGAGAGCTTGCTTGTGGAGTGATTCAACTTTTTGCACCGTTTGCCAAACCAGGTGCTCTCCGCCTGGTAGGTGATCTCATACAGACAGCCGTCTTTGCTGCCCAAGAACATCCTGCCCGTCGCCGTACCTACAATCGAGGTCATCATAGCCCCGTCCGTCGGTATTGTGAACACCGGGTCGGAGACCAGCTGGATCTCCTTCAGCGAATCCTCATCGCCTGCAGCGAACGTGACGCCCAGCACGACAACGTCCACTGCAGTCGTAAGGACCAGCAGGTAATTTATGAAGTTCTGAAAGACGCCGGACTTCGGTTTCACGAGTCCCACACTGATTATCGTCTCGTTCAACCCGTCATAGTATGCTACATCTCCGCCATCGTCATAAGTCCAAACGTAGATATCGCTGTCGATCGTCAGCCAAGCACGGTTGATCTCTGTAAACAGCCCCATCATACAGTGGCATTGCATATCTGCATAAACAACATTAAGGCACATATACAACTCTCTAATATATCAAAGTTTCAAGCTGGAAATAATGTATATTAAAAGGATACGGTTAAAATGTTCCATAATCTCTGGCGGCAATGGCACCTTGGACAGTGTTTTCATTTGGGTCCTAGAGATAATGCTCTGTGGAAGACCCACCAAAGCAGGGTAGTCATGGTCACTCAATCCACTTGCTGTGGGTCCGCTCTGTGGATTAATGTTCAACTGGTCGAGCAGTGTCGGCGCATTGTTATCTTTTATCAAACACTTTTCAATGTGTCTGGCAGCCAGCTGCAACACTTCCGTGTTCAACGCTCGAGAATTATCCATAGTTTGCTCCATCCTAGCTGACGACAATCGGCACCAACAAATTATTATAACCTATAAAAGTCTATATATACACACAAAACACGAACACACACTCAAAACGCAGCCAATTGAGAGTCTTTCACTATGGGTATATATCTAGCGCATCTCTCTGATAGTTCAACAGTGGATAATCGTCAATTAAAGACTTTTTTGTTTAAAATCAAAAAATACAAATCAAAAAAACATAAAATGCGCTTAAAGCGCTTGACAGAGTCAAAATCAAAACTAGTTGAAACGGTCAAAAACCAAATGTAACTATGTATAATGGAATACCAACGTAATGATTTGAATTTGAAATATTTAAATTGTAGCGGAAACAACTTTGCACTAGTACTGTTGTAGTATTAAACTTATTGGAAATGTTAATATTACATAACACAAGTACCTACAATGAAAGAACTAATGTTATTTCATGAAGGTCCAATAACAGCGCCATCCAACGTTTTGAAAAAGAATATTTACAACTTTTTAGGTTAAGCTTTGTTTACTAATTGTAATTTAGTAATTCTGATGTAAAATGAGTTTAAAGGAGAGAAAACATTTAAAGAAGATAAAGAAAGAGAACGCCAGGAAGAAGGTTAAATTGAGTAACTCCAGTGAGTGTGAGGATGAAAGCGAACATGAACTATATTACTATGCCAATGACAGAGTAAAGTTAATGAAGGAGATCTTGAAGACTCTTAAAACAAGGAAAATCAAATCACTCACACCAGAATCTCTAAAGGTATTTCATATTTATTTTGTAAATAATCAAAAGTGTAATTCATACAAATTTAGAATTTTGATATGGAGGAGATAAAAACAATGTTGCTGGAGGAGTTGCTGGGCATCTCGAATAAAAGACTGAAGAAAATATTCGAGGGTCAGAACACTGATGACGAGAGCTCCTCCACAGATGAGGATCAAGCAGCTGTAGATGTCATTTCGCTGGATGAGATTTCAGATGAAGAGGACTTCTGTTTCGTCGATGAGAGTCCCAATGAGAAGAAAAAGATGGATCCAAAGAACGGTAACTGTTCTGCACTCGATGATGGATTTGATGAATTTAAACCCGAACTACGTTTACAGACAAATCAAAAAATTCGAGGAGACGCAAGATCAAGAACGAACTGAAACTGGAGAACACCAAACCTGAAGGCGAAAATGAGAAACTGCTGAGCGTACTGGAACTGCTCGAGCTTCAGGCCAGAGCGAGAGCGATCAGATCTCAGTTGGCCATCGAAGCCGAGAGTAAAAGCAGAGCGGCGGAGAAGGCGGCCAATTCTGGTTCCGATTCCGATGTGATCGTGGAGAGTCCGAAAGTCAACGAGATCGTCATCAGCTCGAGCGAGTCCGAGCCGGACAACAGTAAAAGCAAGAGGAAGAAGGGGCAGAAAGTTAAGATTATTAGGGAGAGACGCAACGTCGAAATGGCCGTAGACGAAAAGTCTGCTGAAGATCCGCCGCCTCGAAATATTATTGTATCTGTACAGAAAGAAACGGCAGCATTGACTGTTGGTGATGTTAGTGAGGACGTTATAAATTTGGATGTGGTGGAAATCGAAGGAATCGACGATTGATTTATTTTTTCAAATAGGCAACTCCATTTACACCATAGCTTTGGATTGTAAGTGGAGTTGCCTACACTTGCGCGTTATTCATTTGGGAAGACAGTTTTACACTAGGAAAATATTGCGTAATTTTTTTTTATTTATTTAAATAACGTTGCCGCAATTTCAAATTTCAAAGTGAAGATATGAATGCTGCATTTTGTGGACACGAGTTATACGAGTATTAATGAAATTATAATTTATATTTGTAGATTAATTATAAGCTACAGAATGTTATATGTATATTATGAAACATCAATAAGTTGTAAATTTGACAAATAAATTATGTGCGTTAATTAACTGTCAAATAGGGTTTGTTGATGTCATTAGAAATTAACAGCCACCTAATTGTCAGTTGTAATGACATAATGGGGTGTGAATTAATTGTTTTTCAAATTCTGGAATTATCCCGTTTCTTGTTTGTGTGAAAGGAAAGGAGAGTACGAGGAGTATTGGCGGGAAACGACGAGTGTCCCATGTGATAAACACGATGCAGGAGGCAATAAATTTCGTCCCGTCTCAAGGTTCCCAGGTAAAATGCCCGAGGGCACCGATTCATTGTAGTAAGCCTTGAATGATATTACGAGCACCAATACGCATACAGTTCGCTTATTATTTGCTGTTCCTCCTCTTCATCGAAATATTATATTATATTTAGAAAAAGCAAAGCAGAAGGACACCACGAGACGAAACGTAATGGACGAACCTTGAACTGATACACACACATACATGTGTGTGTATTTCGAAAGAATCCTAGAAAAGAACAAAAAACGAATACAAATATGCGCATATTTCGCAACTGTAGTTACGCATTCCTTTCGGAAATTCGGTCGAGCCATGACGACTCGATGAACAATGACACGGCCTGAAGGGTAGACTGGTGAAACGGACAGCGGCGGCGACTAATTAAAATCCTCCGCAACGAACCGTAGAAGACGAGAGGGAAACAAGATTATGTGTTTATATGTAAACCAGTTTCGGCGGCGCAGACCGAAAGGATCCACCTAATCATGTAACATATATGACGATGATTCCTAACTAAACATGCGCATCGCGATTGGGATCGTTGCGCTTCAAACGCTGTAATTACGTGAAAAATGCAATTTGTCTTAACAAACAAACAAATACAAATTTCCAAGAGCAATTACAACCGGTATGCGCGCATCCTTTGCTGCAGTCTCTTTCCATTTGTGGACGCGACACTTTTGTAACGAATTTCGATCGTTTCTAGCTGTTGAATTTGTTAAATATTTAACAAGTAAAATGATTAACTTTTGTGTGGATGTACGTTCATTGGTAAAAGTATGCCAAGGAAGAGTAACAAAAAAAAAATGGTTAAGGGATATAACGGTTCGTAGCGGAGTAGGCGTGGTGAGGGGTTACGCATTTCTTTTTTTTTTTACGATCAGAGAACGATTGTCGCGAGGGGTCTGTGCAGAGAGTGGCCAGCTTTGATGAGAGGAAGGAAGAGATGAGAGGGAAGATCGCTGCGTATAATACCCCTGCAAGGAACGGATGAACGCTTGCGGGAAGGAGAAGGACGGACGGTCGGTTCCGTCGCGCACTATTCTGCATTCTTTTTGCACGGATCAAAGCTCTCTATCGCCGGTCGAAAGTCACGCCAGGAGCGCCGCTCGATCTCTTCTCTCTCTCTTTATTTTGATTCGTCGAGTGCGAATGCCGGTTTCTGGGGGGGCGGACGGCCGAAGAGCGCTCATCACCAGGCGATCTGCTACCGGTTGCTCTGCTTTCCAACATTATTGTGATATCACAATCATTGCTTGCGAGAGTAGCGATCGTTGACTAACGTATGTCTTTCTTCTTCTGCTCCTGCTGCGAGAACCGGAAGATCGGCGCGACTAACAAAGCGTCGGCAAGGGACGAATAAGAAGTGTTTATGTTCTTTTGTTGCTGTTATTGTTGTGACGCGAGCTGTCGGCACGCGAAAGGAGTCTTTGCATACGTGGCGCGCTTTTCACCTAGCATCATTGCTGTGATATCACAATCATTGCGTTACGAGTAGCAGCAGCAGCAAGCGGCAAGCAGGATTAGCTTCTGTTGCTGCCTGCAACATCGCCGCCTCCAGCCGTGCGTTCTTCTGTTTCTGCAAAGACGAAGAAGGATAAGTGTGTATGTTTCTTTTTTTCTCTCTTCTTCGTTGTGTCGTTGTGAACTGCCGACACACGAAAGGCACCGAAGGATAATTTTTAACGCACACACATTAACTTAGGTGGAGAGGCGAACGAACGAACGAACGCACTCGCAGTCGTGACTCGCTTGTTTTCAGTAGTAGTGTAGTAATGATAATCGCAGAGTGCTGAATGGACTCGAGGGAAGGGGGGGCGGTTTGGCGGCGACGGTGAACTTATTGATTTTCAGGGGTGACACTGTCAACCACCGCGCGTTCAGCTCTCGCGGCGGCAGAGGAGAAAAAACGCCGCCGCCGCACGCCGCGCGCGAGACCATCACACCAACCAAAAAAAAAATCGGAGCGATCCGAACAAAAAAAAAATACGCACACAGCGGTTCTTTCTCTCTCTCTCTCTTTCTCTATCTATCTCCTCTGCTCTTCTTTGCGTTCTTTTCTTCTTTGCTGTCGCTCCTCACCGTGAGTTCGTGTGTGCGGGAAACGTGAATGCGCGGGTGCGTTTTTTTTTCTTCTCTTCTCTTCATCACACACACACAAACGTTCTCTCTATCTCCCCTCTTTCTGTCTCGCTCTGCCTCAATCTAGGTGTCCAGTTTATTGCTACTTGTTTGTTTGTTGTTGTTATTGTTGCTACTGCAGACTACCTGTTTCCTCGGTTGGTGAAGAAAAGTTGTTTGTGGTGCGTGCGTGTGTGCGGATCATCGTCATCGGCAACAGCAGCAGCAGCGGCATCGAGATTTGAAATTTGGGTTCCGTTTGGAATGCAGCGGTGCGGCGGCGACCGGCGAGCAAACAGAGCGCTGCCGACTGGCATCAACCGTCGCGTCACATCGCGCCAGTAAAAATGGCAGCAGCGGCACTCGGCGGTTTCTCGCAGGATAATTTTTGCAGGAGGCCCAAGAAGAAATTCAGTTGACCAGCCGACCGCGATAGCACGGAGGAGGAGACCACCACCATCAACCGAGCAGGCCGAAAAAGGTGGGCGTCCTCCTTCCTCCCCTAGCAGCACGCACTGCATACCAGCACCGTTCTCTCTCGCACTCCTCCTCCTCCTCTTCCCGCACCTCACCTAAACTCACCAATCCATCTAATTTAGTTGTTTACTTATTATAATTATTATCGGTTTTCGCAACACTCCCCCACATTCCATTCGACCTCCATCAAAAGACGTAAATAAACTTCCGTTTCACCTATTATTCTTCATGTTCGCATATTTCTATTGCACCTCTCTCTCCGTCACACACGTTGCGTGAGATCATTACGCAGCCGTCGATAATACCATCATCCTCCAGACGGACTTGATAGATCTAGCATGGCGTGGAACGCGACCAACTGTTCTTTATTTACGTTAACCTAAAAAAAAAACGATATTTCTCTCCTTTTTACTACCTGCTCTGCATCTTCGTCGCCACTGCAGTCTGCGAATAACGTAACCCTTTCGTTTGTCCGATGATGCCTCCAATTTCCGCGCAGATTCGCAGATATTCCAAACGTTTTCCTCAAATTCTAATCGCCTTCGCTGCAGCTTAGTTCTCAATACCATCGCAGTACCAACTTAACTGCACTCAACTGTCACATAACTGTCGTTACCATGGTAACATCTGCAGCTTGCTTAGGAGAAAATCAGAATCAACTTTTCTAATTTCAATTACTTACGACGAGAGCTGCAACAGAAATCATTCATTAATTCCTTGCTTTTATACAATTTCTCCAATTCCCAATAACAATAACCGATTTATAACATTAGAAGTTTATTGAGCTGTAGTATTTGTGTTTGACCATTCCTTTATGTTTCCCAAATATATGTTACAAAGTAATAGTAGATGTAATTTTATACTGTTAATCGCATGTTGATGTTTCTGCCAATATGAAGTTTTAACAATTGACCTTTTGAAGTTTAATATAAAAGACCTTGCTTTCGAGCACGTAATGAGTGTTAATTGTTTCTTTAGTTACGGAGAAATTGGAGGATATTGACAGGAAATACTCTTACGGTTGCAAATGCAATTCCCGCCTAATCGAGTTTAAAATGAAACTATTTGAAGGCGAATGCAATTGAGGCTATTTATAACGTAATTAGTACAATTCTAATGAATGATTGTTGATTTAAGAAACGTAATGAGTGGTGGTGATCTGAAAGGTTGGGAAGCTCTGATGTATATGTAAAGCAAAAAGCGAGATGATGATGGATGATGGGTGGATGGTGCGAACGAGAAGAGACGTTTCGTAAGATCGTTGCAGCGTATTTGAGCGGTGTGAAGTGTGCTTGGGGGCTGGCTGTGCCGGTATAGTAGAGAGCGCAAGTACCGAGTAAACAAAGATGTCGACGAACATGCGCGCTCCCTTCTCGCACGCTCCGGCAGTGTTTACGAGATTAGTTTCTTGAGAAGTTCTCGGCCGAAATGGGGGTTGTGTTGTGCTGCGTGCGTGGTGTTGTTATCGCGTCCTCCCGCTCACCGCTGAACAACTGATTCGTCGCGACCGCAGTGAATTGCAATCGTCTCGCAAAGTAAACAAGACGCTCGCATCTTCTTCGCAAAAATAATACTACTACACGTTTGCTCGGCGTTCGTTCTCTCCTCTCTCTGCGCTAGTAGCTGGAGCTACACTTTCGTTGGAGCACGGGGGTACTCGCAATAAGCTCCGCCGCAGTTGTGCGTGTGTTTTTCGTTCCTCCGTCTTTTTTTTTTCCCGTACGTTCGTTTGTTCGTCGTTGCCTGTTCCAAGTCAAGAGTGCGGTGGTCTCTCCGTTGCATACACATATGTATGTAACATGTTTATGTGCGGGCCTGGCCGGCTAGTGAGTGCTGTTGTTGTTATTGTTGATCGCCCGGTGTTGGAGGAGGAGGCAGAAGAAGTGTTGTTATTGTTGTTGGAAGTTCGTCAACGCTTTAGTAGTTGTTCATCGAGAGGAGTTTGCTTTGGTAACGGTGGAAGAGGCGGCAGCGTCGGCGAAGACTGCAGCAACTCCACCAACATCATCGCCACCACCAGCAGCAGCAACAACTATGCGGCCGCACCGAACGAATACTAGCCGTTCAAAATTTACGTGATTTGTGCAGCATGAGACAAGGTCGCGCCGGACAACGAAAAAATAAATGTAATTCCACGCATCATCATTTTCATACATATATCTATATATCAATCATTTAATGAAGAAAGAGGAAAAATCCTCTTTCTACTTCTTCATCATTACAACAACAACCACCACCACCACCACGAAAGTAGTATAGAATACCAAGCTGTAGCACCCAACGCGTTACCTCCTTCCCCGTCTGCTTTGTGTAGGTTATGTTGCCAGCACCGGTCGCATCCTAACCTCTCTTTCAACCTCCATACCTGCTCGCATTTACCTTCGGCCCGCTCGATTCCCTCAGAGCACCTCGTTCTTTTGTTTCTACGACCAAATGGCCTTCGACGGATTCCCTCTCACGTCTCTCCTCTCATTCTCAACCACCACCTCCTCTCATCGTCACATTTTATTGTTTCTCCACGAATTATATCAATCCGAATCGTTGATAATTCAATAGCGTTTATTTTTAAAACCGAGATCTCGTTGCAATTACGTAATTCCTTCCTCCCTCTCACGAAAACAGAAAAAAAAAACTAAACGGACCTGTCAATTGTTACTGTATAATGCGACTGCTTTTATCATCTTGGCGGTGACGAAAGCCTCATCGAAACTAATTATTATAAAAATAATACACTTATTATGTTGATATCATTAGACGGTTCATTGTTGCAGTCAATGTTGTTCTTGCGTAATGAAATAGACAATATCTTTTATGCAAAAATAAAACTCTGATATTGATGCACAAGGCTCAAAGTGCAAAGCGGCATTTCTTTCTTTTTTTTTCGTTGTTGTGTCGCCTCTACAACAATATTTATTATAATATATATGTATAAACGTGATAAACAAACAAGAATAGAAAATTACTCTTATACAAATATACAATTTGATGGATCCATTTGACGTCTCCTTTTATTAATTTAATTAATGCATAAACATATCACGTTTAAAATATATAAATCTATATAAACACTAACAAATATTGATTTAGTTACAATTTTCTAACGCCTATCGACCGATGTCTTGTATATTTTATTGGCTTATGTTTGAACAAATACAAATGTTGACGTTCTACACTTGTATTTGTTCATTCATAATAAACGTGAATACATCAACATTCGTGTAAATTTATCTCGAAGATAAGTTTATATGCTGAGACATGTATAGTTTGTTAAGTATGTTATAACTTTTTTGTTACGTTATAAACAAAATTGAGAGTAATTCATATTTCAATTTTTTAGGCAAAATATCAATTAGCTCACTTTGATTAATTGCACTTTTTTTTATGAATTACTTATACTTATACTAATTTTGCTGCAAATATTTAATATACAATTTTCTTCAGTGTCTACTTGTTAGTAATATTCAATACTGGGAATAGTTTCAGTTCAATCAAATATATATTTCATTTGCTAATTTGTAATATTTTTTAATTCAGTCGTGCTGAATGGTGGTGGTTGTGGTTCAGTATATTGCTGTGTAATATTTGTAATTTTTAACTGAGTTTGTTTACTGTGCTAGTGTAGATTTTATATCAGTCGTAGTTGATTCCTTGCTGTGGACGGTATTGTTACTTTAGTGCAATGTTTACATACGGTAACTATTTGCTTGCTTCATTATATAAATATATTTTATATTGTATTTGCTTTAAAGTCTTCGAAATCGATTTCGATTTTGAGGTGGAAAACTTTCGTTCGGTTGTTGAGTTTGGTGTTGTATCGGTTGGGTATTCTTCTTGGGGTATTGTTACAAATAAGTATTTTACCTGGTTTTTTGGGATTAACGGTGGTGTAGTGTTCCGAGTATTCGGGTGATGTACATTTATTTTGTTTTCTTCATTGTATCGACAAAGAAAGTGTGCAGCGTGTGTGTGTTGTGTGTGTAGGATTTTTGTATGAATCGTTTATAAATAATTGTATGTGTTTCAGGCCTTAGCCGCCGCGTCGCTCCCCCCATCACGCTGCCAGTCACCCTGGAGGACCCCGCCACCACCTGGAAGGGACCGCCGCCCGGCTCGGAGCCCCAGAACTTTGCCCCGAACTCGAACTCTTTCTCCGGGCCGCCGGCGGGCTTCCAGGGGCCATCACCATTCCAGCAGGGTCCGCCGGCGGGGGCGGGATCACCGGCAGGGGCCGGTCCCCAGCAGCAACAACAGTACCAGCAGCAGGGGCCACCGCCGGGTTCGACGACGCCGCAGTACACGGCATCGCCGGCGCCATCGGGCTCGTCGACGCCGGGCCCGGGGCCGCCGCAATCCGTTGGCAATGCGGGAGGCTTCCCGCCGCCCCAGAACAGCGGCGGGCCGCCTTACAACGGACCCGGCCCAGGACCGTTCGGATCGCCGTCCGCCGGTGGACCGCCTTTCGGTCGTCCTGGCTCCTCGGGGCCCCCGTTCGTCGGCGGACCGGGCCCGGGGCCTGGCAACCAATTCGTCGCCGCCCACGCACAGCACTTCGGAACGCCGGGCGGCTTCAGCATGCCACCGGGTTCACCCTTCGGACCCGGTCCCGGCCACCCCATGTCCTCGCACGGTCCCATGGGTCCCGGACACGGCCTCATACCCGGTCAAATGGGACCCGGTCCGAATCCCGTCGATAGGATGGATCAAGGGTAAGTTTCCAAATTTAGTCTTGCTATTATGAAACATGAATACTCCTGATACCTCCTCATCCTAGTGACAATTGATGCAGGAAAAGCCTTCTGTTAAATACATCCAAGGCGGCAACCATTCACTTATTTCAATGGTCTTAATCCACTTAGACAAATTTACTTAAAGAGCATGGACTGTTTTTCGATCGCATATCACGAGTGACTTCCAATTAATATATTACCAAACAATATTACTTTGATTAACGAAAGGAAATTAAAAGTCTAAAATGGTCACTCAGAGACATGTCACATAGATAACTTAAATTTACCGTGTAGATATGTTGCATTTTGCCAAATTTTGAAATTTTCATGTATTTTATTTTGGCGCCAAAATGCTAATTACATTGCAGCAATGGACTAATGAGAAAAAATGAATTACATAATGAATGTGAGAGAGAACTAGACGTGAGATACACTCGTACATATTTATATATATATATATAAAAGTGTATATATATTTGGATGTACGTTTGTGTGTGTGGGTATATATGTAAAATATTTTTGTCGGCGCCTGTACGGGGGCTTTCCCCCTAACTCTCGGGGGTTGGTGTGGGCCGCTCGCGAGGCACTAGAGCTCAATACGTCTACACTCTGGTCGGTGCGTCGTGGGTCGCCGTTTATACGGCGCGCGCTTTACACGCTCGTTCAAAAAATGCTCAGGCGACTGCAGGCAAATTTCGTACACGTCCATCCGCAGCCCGAAGCCAGCGTACGTACGTACGTACATACAGCACGAATGTACAGAAGTTTAGCAACAAAAATATGAAGCTGTAACGTGCGAAAGCCAGTTAGATGAGGAGGGCAACTGGTTGTCTCCAACGGATATGATATGTTTTCCCTTATTTTTATGTGTGCCATTAATTTGGTGAATTGTTAATATGGTATTGGAGCTGCAGCAGCAGCAGCGCACCACCGGTCGGAGGATGATGGTGGATGCCTTGCTGTATAGCAGCATCAGCAAAGATCCGCATCGGTTGGGTTTTGCGAAAGAGAAAGAAGGAGAGTCAATGTTCTCTCAGCAGAGCAGAGCGACAAGTGTGCAGGGGGTCCACGACGCGCCGACTAGAGTGTATCCTGTAAGGGGATGGTTACGGCTCGGCGGGGCGCCAAGCTGAATTGGGCCGCAGCGCTCTCTCACCTACTCCCGTATATATACAGGTGTATGCGGCCACGTGGTTGACTCTGCTGCTGCTGCCTCGATGCCGGTCCTCCGCATGCACACACACACACACATACCATCCTCCATACATTACATGTATACGTGCACATACACACACACACATATAAATGTATGTGTGTATGCATGTACAACAAACTCTTCTCTTCGCCGGATGCACTCGCGAGAGGGCACACCTCCTCTTCACATACATGCATACTCTCGATCCTTCCAACACCGATTCCTCCTCCCACCCAACATTAACAAGAACAACAATTAGACATAGAAAAATACGAAGAATACTTTGATCAATTGCAAAAATCAATACATCGACAAGCCTTACAAAATAAAGACAAACTTGAGTAGTTGCTTGGCAAGTACCCGAAGTATTTACTACATTAGAAAAACTAATACTTCAATAATTAAAATCAATAACTTATTTCCAAGTTTATTGACTGTATAATATATAATTTCTAATATTAATACTAAACTTAAAAGTTGTAACTCGCTTAATACTTTTTGTTGCACGTACGTAATTATTATCAATTTTGTTACCAGTAGATCGAGGAATGTTCGTATTCTTAAAAATAAACGTTGTTTTACGTCCGCGGAAATAGCCAGTGAAGTGACTGTTCCTTCGAATGTTCGCCGCAAAACCAATCTATTAATTTTTGTTTAAAACATCCAAGGCGGCGACGATTGACGAATATACTTCAATGCGTCCAATTTCGAAGTTAACATCTGTCTCAGTAGCGTTTTCAACGAATTCCAAAACGAAATACGTTCCGAGAAAATTTATCATTTTTGTACAAAGTACATAAGTTAATCAATATTATTAACAAAAGTGTTTAGATTTTATAACAGCGAATCGAATATCTAGCTAGCGTGTTTATTGATTTTGTCTTTTGATGACCATCTTGGATTATTGTTGTATGATCAAAAATTGTAGTTTCTTTTTTCGAAAACAATCGTTTATTATTTTTTACTATGGAAGGGCTGACCTAGCACGGAGACCATTGTTTCGTGCTCTTTCATGTTTTTGTAACGAAAAAAAAATATAATATTTTTTTGTTGTTGTTGTTTCGTTTTGGGGTCGGCTCTCCCATTGCCAGGGAACCATCGTTTTTCCTAATAATTACAGAGCCGGTTGCCACGGCAACATGATCATGCGCCACCGAGCAGCATCATCACGTACCGAAATTTGCACACAGAACACAAGATTTCTTTATGAAACTGTGATATTTGTGAATATAAAGAAATGATCTATATTCGGATTCGCAGTGTTAAAGTGTAATATTTAACAAATGAAGAACAATTACGTACTTGCACTGTTAATCGTGAGGTCGTGCGGCCGCGCGCGGATTCTTCTTAACAAAGTCATCGATCAATTCCACATTTGTTTCATTTAAGTCTTCGAATAGTCGCTTTTTTACTCTCTCTCTCTCTCTCGGTCTTCAGCTCTTGCTGGCGTATCAATTGCTCAATCGGGCAGGTGTGATTTAACGCCGTTTTTTTCTCTCTCTCTCTGTCTCTTTCTCCCATCAGGTGTATGAGAAAAAGAAAGAAAATGAAACGGTTTTACGCACTCTGGAGGAGCGAAGGTGCGCGCACGTTCCTATATTTATAAGGAAACAATGTAAGTCGTAAGTGTCGGTTGTAGAATTCCAATTACCTTATTATAGGAGTATCATAGGTCAGGAACTCCAGAGCTGCCTGCAAACTTTGCTTGTGTGCATGCCCCTGTACCGCCTAACTATCTCACTCTCTCTCATTCCCATCCATCGAGAGAACCAACTTAGCCGAAAAGTTTTGGCCCTCTTCGACGTACTACACCTGCTCTCCGGTGCGCCCACGTCTTTCTTTCCTCTTTGCTCGATTTTAGGGTTCGCATCTTTTATTCTGTAGTTACCAAGTGTGTATGTGAGTACGGAAATTTATCGATTTGTTCATGTATTCACCATAGCGCGATTATTTCCTTACCATCATCATTATCACCGTTGACACTGATAGCGAGCGCCTATATTTACCTTATCAAGTGGCACTCGAGGTATTTAGGTCGAATGGACTGCTCTAAAAAATGTGCGTTCACGAATTTGCTGTTCCAATAACTTGCTCTTCGAACTTCCAACCAATGTCCAAACTATTTGAAGAAAATGGTAAAAAAAAACGTTTCATGTACACAAAAACGAAACAAACTGTTGATGAGAGAAATGGATGGGGGTTTTGTAAATGTGAAATGAAAAAAAATGTGTTTAATATATGTCGGTTGCGAAAAAGGTTAAGGGACTCTGGTTTACAAGGCATGCCAGATGTCTCCTCTCCCCTTCGGTTAGTTCGCATTGTACACAGGGCCATTAGGTCGAATTGCTTTCCAATGCAACTTTATGGCGTCGGAGGAGGAGGTGTACCTACCTCCCTTCCTCCCGCCATCACCCAAGGGCACTACCAGATTCAAACCCCATCGGGACATTTTTCCGTATTAACAGTTGTAAATCTTCATAAAATGAAAAAAATAAATAATAATGTAATAGAATAACTAGGAATTAAATATAGCAAAATTGTTGACTTAAATATATTGTCAAGAATTTTTTACTTTGCATCCTTGCATCAATTACAGTTTTGTCGTGATAGCTTTAACTTTAACAAGTGATTTAGTATTGAGTGTTTGTGTGTATGATGTTTAAGTTTTAGGACTATTAGACTGAATTTAGTGTGCGAGCGCTTTCTCGTCTCTTTTCCTTCAGTATTATCACAAACACATCCATCCATGGGATGCAGCTTTCATTACCCTGTCGATCAATTTTCCGAGGGTCGGGGGGTGGTGGTGGTGACGGTGGTTGAATCTTATGTTTGTGTGAGTTGCTCCTCTCGGTTCGTCCTCGTCTGACTTGAGGAAAATCTGGCGCCGTCTCTTTCTCACCCTCGCACACGCATACACACACACACACACACAC